TTGGATATTAAGAAAAATTTCTTCACCGAAAGGGTTATCAAGCATTGGAACAGGCTGCCCTGGGAAGTGGTGGAGTCCCCATCCCTGGAGGTATTTAAAAGACGTGTAGATGAGGCGCTTAGGGACATGGTTTAGTGGTGGACTTGGCAGTGCTAGGTTAATGGTTGGACTTGATCTTAAAGGTCTTTTCCAACCTAAGTGATTCTATGATTCTATGCTACCGCTCTTTGGTCCAAAAGCCTTTCCTTCGCATGTTCCTACAGCCCAACGATTGCTTTCTTTTTGTGTAGAAACAATCTCTCTGACATTCCTTCTCTTGCCAAATCTGTATCACCTGGTGAGTTTTCCATGTTCATCTATGATGTTTTATATACATTGTCATTATTCCGTTGTCCTATTTCTTCAGCTTCTGGGTAGGATTTATTCCTCTCAGGACAAAACTTGCCACAAGTTGTCTGAGCATCCAGCACCACTGCTGACCTCAATCTTTATAAAAATATTTATTTAGTTTGAAGAACATCTGGGATAAGATTTTTAAAGGTTCCTCCTGATAGTGTAAGTTAAATGTCTTTTCAGCAAACAACCCTGTAAGTTTGTAAACTAACAGCTTTACAACTTTGTTATGTTTTCCTCATATAAGAGCAGTTTTAGAGATGACACAGATGCACAAAACTGGTTCCACCTTACCTTTGACGTGGCTTCTCCCATCCTCCAACAGTGGTACTACTATAGTGTTGTTCATATTCCCAGGTGATCTCACAGCTGTATAGACAACAGGTACCGACTGTACCACCACGGGGATACGGTGCACGTGACTCATTTTGTTAGACTGCAAGTTCATGGGGCTTGAAGGTGGTACTGGATGGATAATGTGCAAAAACTGCTGGCCTCCAACACCAGACGCAGAGGCCACAAGAGGACCTGGAGTTAATACTGATGGTACAGATGCCGCTGAGGATACTGATGTTATTACTGTGGGTGATGACGCTGGCCGACTAGAAGAAGAAGAAGTAGAAGTAGAAGAAGGGGAGGAGGCTGATGCTGTCATGGAAACCGGTGAAGATGAAGCTGCTGTAGGGGATGACCTGGCTTTGTTTATTGACAAGTCCACTGGTTCAGTCTGTGTTTGGAAATGGTCTGTAGATAATGAATCCTCCACGGGGTCTGCCTTCATGTTGTTTAGTAACAAGGGTACAGCTTCCATATCTGGGTAATTGTGGACGTTTGGAGACTGTTGAGGAAGGACAAAGGGACATAGTTACGTATGTGGCTAAAGATGACTTGCACACCCAATTGCTAATGCACATCACACAACATGGTCATGAAAGCCACCGGATTTGTTTCCTTTTCTTGTGTCAGCTCATAATTTTAAAGGACAAATCATGCTAGAAAGCACAGACAAGTTCTACTCCCATTTCTTAGAAGGTGGCAGGATTAACTGTACAAAATCACCCTGTTTCTTTGCACTACGCAAAGTCATCAGTGACAAAAATTTTAGTATCTCCACAGGTAGCCACTATTTATATTCACAGGACATTTCCTCCCAACATCTAACTTGAAGCTACAGCATTACTCTCTTGTGTCATCTCCAACAGACATGAAGAAAAACTGGTCACTACCATTTTTCAAACAACTTTCTGCATGCTTGAAGTCTGTAATTTCCCCCTACTTGCCTACCTTTTTCTAGACTAGGCAGACCTTGCTTCTTCTCTCTGTCATGTCACCTTTAAAAGAACAAGCCTTAGCACTCTTTATTTGCTCTTTGCATGATCTTTCTAGGTTTGTCCGCATCACTTTTCAGAAGGCAGTGCCTTACGCTAAACACCGTCCTTCAGTTCAGTGTCTGACTTTTTGCATTCTGCATGGTTACTGATAATGAACTTACAGGTCAGTACAGAGCCCCACATTTGTATGGTTGTTCTGTTACAGGCAGCAATGGCTACAGTGATTCATTATTCTGAATTAGTACAGTAGATAGCCTTCCCCGTTGTTATAATTTTAATTTTTTTTATGTTTCCATACTAATTAAGAACAATTTTCCTGATTTTGCAAAATAATTTTATGTTTTAGACCAACTCTTTCAAAGCTGGTTGGTCTAAATTTATTCTAGACTGGTGCCATCCACTATTTTTATAGTTTTATTCCTTATTTCCATCACCAAAGAGGTTAATAGAATTTTTGAATAATGCTAGGCCAAAGATAGATCCCTGGAGAAGCTCATTTGATATATCTTTCCTTTTTGACAGTACGTCATTAATAACTGCTCTTTAAAAATGTTTTTTCAAGTAATTTTCAATAGGCAGAGCAAGGAGGGAAATGCCCATTGATAACCTGGTAGTAAGACAAAGCACAGCTCTCAGCTCCTCAGCTAAGTACCTCCATGGCACTGCACTGCAGCAGAGCTTCTCTGCAGGCACACAGACGCCATTACGTGCTGTAGTATGGAAAACCAACCTCAATAAAAAACATTTGCCAAGCTACTTCAAACCTCACTTGACCCAAAGCGATTTTTCCATATACAGATCTAACAAGCAATCTTTTTATGGTACCTAAGCAGCTCTAAATGCATTCTCTCGATCTCTAGATTACAGTATTTACTAAGTATCTAAAAATACTAAGTCAGAAATATTTAAGCCACAAATATTTTAGTTCGTCTACTCTAAATAAGCTAACAATCAAGCAAGCTGTGAATTCACTTTGGGATTTTTATAATCAACTATGTTAAATATTTTCATGGAGAACCCTCCTGGTTTTGAGTCAGAGCCAAATTTCATCACAGAATGGAGTTCTATTGCAAAAGGAAAATAGAAACACTAATATTAAAAATTGTAATAATAACAGCCTAAGTGGATATTATCCCTGGCATGCTGAAGGATGAGATGTTCTAGTAGATCCCGTCTATTCAGCTGATTTAGACTGGTTCTTGGATCTGACATTTTCCCCCATTTGAAAGCAAGAACGTCTCTGGAACAGTGAGTCTCTTCCTCTATTCATACACAAATCAACTTAAAACAAAGGAACCCCAATTCATCCGGCCCCTGGACCCTGCTGTTCTGCTGTAATACAAATAACAAAAGAAAAAATCCCTTTATAAAGACAATGGGAAGTTCTCCTGCTAAAAAAGAACACAGAGTGAAGAACAGGTCACTTTTCAAAGTGCATAAAACCAGCTACGAGTGACAAGGTTACGAAAACCTCTTCCTCAGGAAGACAAAACTGCCTGTAATTGCCCAGTGATGATTCCTGGTAACTTCCTCTGAAACACCTTATCCAGGCTATTGTCAGTAATGAGATTCTGCATTAGGTATACCATATGTGCCATGATAAAGACAAAATCATAAACATAGATGGCACAAGTAGTTCATTTGTCAAATCTTGACAAGTCTTATATACGCAATGGGCAAACAGACTGGTTCTGCTGAACTAAACAGACTGGTGGTAGCGTGAAGGCAAGGCGGAGAGGGACACCCTGCACAGGCTATACCCAAATCTTCATAAGGCCAAAGGCAACATCTTCCATCTAAAATGTTTGAGAGAAGGGGGATAAATGGGATCAACTCATGGGCAAGGGAGATGAGTGATCCCCTTGTGTCATGGCTGGGCAAGGGTCATCTAGAAGCAGTACGAATCGCCAGCTCCATCCACAGGGCAGATAAATGTGCCACGGAGGATATCCTACATGTTGATGTACTTCCAGCCTTCCCCTGGGTGCCAGAGGCAGATTTCAGGTTGACCCAATGCCACCTGCCTCAGCAGCACAACTTGTTACTCTGTGAGCTGAAGGATGGATTACCCTGCTGTTGCTGTCCTCCATTGCTCTTCAGAGCACCCTGGAGTGCTCTGAGGGCACTGGGGACTTGATACACCCAGCGTATGCACGTCAGACTGAGTCTTTTGACTTCTGGGATACTTCTAAGACTGGACACAAGGGATCCACACGGACCTCGAAAGCAGTCCATCATCAAACTGAGCACAGTCTGCCCCAAAGTCCCACCTTCCTTTGCAGCAAGGAGCATCAGTTCCCTTACAGGAAGAGTAAGGAAGAACCCCAAACCCTTATGTAGCTGATGCCACACAAAGTACTTGTTCCATGGGTAGAGTCAATTGTCTTTGAGACAAAGCACAGGTCATGACTTACAGATTTTTCTGGACTGTGCTAAGAACAGGCCTTTGTTTTACTATAGTAATTACACCTAGTCCTTTGGGAATTTAAAAAAAAGGAAAAAAGTATCATGTAACTGCAGTCTATCATACAAATCACTTTCTCTTTTAATAGCTCTTCTGCATTTACTTTTGTACTGTACATTCTTTATATTGCAGCTACCTTTCAGTAGGTACCCTCTTCTTGTCTAGAGCTGCTGGAGGGGCCATGCAGTCTCTATGTACTACAGTAATACAGTTGATATGATTATTTCAGTCTTCAGTAATGAAACTAAACTCGAAATATTTACAATCCCTTCATGAATTTCTCCAAACAGGATGAAAACTGGTATGCCCTTCAATGACCTCCTTTGCTTGCCAAAACTCTAAGACTAAGAACGCCCTTTCTTTGGTAAATTCAGGCTGTGACTGATGTCAGTTGACATTACAAAAGACAGTAGGATCCTTATCAAAACAGGTTTGTACATCCCGTACTTAAGATAAAAATTGTAAACAAGTGTTATATTTTGTTCTGGTGGTAGTGAACAAAGAGATCTACCCCAACAACTCACGCTCCCTTACAGTGACCTACGAGTGGTATAGATGTTTCTCCATGATGTCAGATTTTATCTAAGCTGCCAAAACTCTATTTAAGCTGTATTTTAATCAAAACTTCGAACATTAAATTATCATTATTTTCTGAAAATAGATGGTATTGCAAACCTTTCCCAACGATGATGACTATTGCAGAATTAGGAACTACGTGACGAAGAGTAGCAACAAAGCCAAAAGGCATGGCTGAATTCTCAGCACACTATTTCCTAGTATCTCCCCAGGACGTTATTAACCAAGCATTAGCTGTTCATTTCCCTAGATGTTGAGTGTTGCCATTAGTTTTATTTAACGGAACCACATCTTTTCTAATTGAGGCGATCGCAACACTACGGCTGGGATATTCAGAGGTATACCTTCAGCCATTCTGTCAGCTCATAAAGTCAATTGGATGAAAAACAAATGGTTGCATGTTTTTTCTCCTGTCTCTATTCCTGCCTTTCCATCCTCTTCTAGTAAACCAGGCTTCTTGTGGTGGTGTGGGCTCAGCTGATTGCTAGTTTGGGTGTCTGAAACAGGTTTTCCCCGTCTGGCTCCCAAAAGTGTCTGTGTTGGTTTTGCAAACTTCATTTTGGTTTTAGGGGTCTAAACTCTGTTGAGAGTTTGGCAGCTTTCAGAGTGTTCGGTGGGTTAGAAAGGGTTCAGCCTGAGGTCCCTGTAACCCAGTGGGCTTGCCTTGGACGCCAGCCCAGACCATGGGAATACAACATGAGGGGGTACAGCTCCATGCGGCTTCCCTCATCGCACTGCTCCAGCCCGCTGGTACAAAGGAGAGGGACAGCTTCAGCCCTGCCTCCAGCTGGGACTGAGAGGCAAATCTCAGCAATGCCTCTCTCTGCAACACTGCCGTCACATCCTTATGCTGTTCACCATCCACTCAAATCCAGGCTGAAACAGAACTGGAAGGCAGGTTAGGATGGCTCCCTGCTAGAAAAGGCTTTTTAAGACAGCTGCAGCCTCTACTAGTCAGTGCTCTTGGCTCATGCTTTTTGTGCCTGCCCTTTAAAGCTGTACACCAACATTCTCTGCAGTGCCCCATTGCATTAGCTTGCCATTAATAAACGCCGCCAGGAACATAACACGTGATTTCCCTATTCACAAAGCTGGTTTTGGCTGTGTAAAAAAGCATTCCTTACTGCCCGTTTCCCTGGCCATTATGGAAAAACAACCAGCCAGCCACACAACCAGCCACAAGATCCTGAGTGAACCATGGTGAAGTTATGGCCGATAACGTGTTATCTGCTGGATGGCCACCCTTTCCTGCACAGTTCTACTTCATCTTCCTTCCAGCCCCCTGAACTCCACCTCCTCTTAACTTACTTTAGGGTAAATTTTGCAACAGCCCGTTTCCACTCTCTTACTCTACTCATGGCAATCTCCTCTGTGTACCAGCATTGTCTCCCATCCATAACCAAGCCAGGAAGAGCTCACAGGTTCCACACAGCTGAGGTTAAAACCAGTGAAAAAGCAAAGATCATT